TACCACTGGTTTTATCATACGTGTGGCTTATTGGCTAAATCCCAGATATTGCTTTATGGTAGACACTGAAACAAATTGAAAACAAATGACCAGTCATGGGAAAATGAACAGATTTAATTTTATAATACTCATTCCTTTAATCAGGCTCAGTCCAGCAGCTTATTAAGTCCTGAAAGACAAGGAGAACACTCCTCTGGGTCTAATCACACTGTATGCTATACTATTCCACTCCACTGCAGAGATGAATACACAACCTCCTCTATTTCCTCTCCACTCTCACTGGTATCCTGTGGTGAGCAAAGTAACACTGTTTTCTTTACATTAGATCCGAGCCTTGCTATAGCAAGAACATCAGAGAGCGGTAACTTTTCATCCATAGGCAAGCACAGGGCAATGAAGTGGGCATGAAAGCGGAGTGGATCACCTAGAGGAAAAGGAAAATAACACGATAATTATCAATAATGATCAATTAACAAATCACTTAACTGTGTAGTGGCTGGGAACACCATGTCACTGCAGTACTTTAATTAGTAATTAGTAATAATTTATCAATCCATACTGATCTCACCTGGATACACCAGATAATCTCCTCCAAACTTCCCTGCTGCAGTTAGGTAGAAGCCTTTCCTCCTAAGATCCTTATAAACCCGGAATCTCGTCTCCGAGCGCTTGTCTCTAGGCATTGGCCAATCAGCAGCCAAGAAAGCATGTTCCTCGGGACAGTGACTGAAGCCGGCACGAGCAGTGCAGAGTTGGACAGCCACGGCAGAACGAGGGAATGAGAAGCTCTTCTCCACAGACTCAAGTCGTTCTCTTACTGCCTGCTCTGCTCCCTCATTACCCTTTTTATCTTAATGACAAGACACAAAAAACATACAATCTCCATGTCAGATAGAGCAACTTTCAAATAACCAGTTTATATATGGGCATGATGGAACTTTAATAGAAGCCCTAATACTGAAGAACTTCGTTACAGATAACTGGTAATACAATAAGTTGCATAATGAATGCTTTAAAACATCACCACTACTCCTGCACTCAATTTACGTTGTGAAACTGTCTATGAAAGCAGCAGATTTAGGCTGCATTTGCCACTCTAGGATAAAATCTTCCAAAGGCAGAACAAAACATTTTCAAAGAAACCTTATACAGCATGATAAGCATATTAAGTTAATCTAATACTGCAAACCAATTTCATAATATTATAAACCATGTGTAAAACAATAGTTTAGGCTAAAATATAGTTTATATATACATTATATAATACAAAATGCGGTCAATTCCAGAATTATTGGCAACCCTCATAGAAATGTATCACGCTTGCCTCCATTTCTTCAGAAAATTTTAACCAGTTCAAGAATTTTAAAACATAATTTTATTATGGCCCTATCTGTGCTTAATGGTATGTTAACTGCTTATGTGTTTCCATATTCAGTACCGTATTTGTTGTAGATAAACTCATAATGATGGATAACAAATAGTAGAACCTCATGGTTTAACACAGGGAAACTGGGTATGATCATAAGCAATGACAGCTCCTCTAGGCTGAGGGCAATTTTAAAAATTATTCATTTAAAGATAACAATTCGTTTGCATTTATTAAGGGGTACACAAGTTTTGAATATGTTTTTGAGATATAGTACTATTATTTAAAGAAAGAATGCAATAATGATTTATGTTACAGGCAGGGTAAATATTTTCTCCTATCATTTTGATTGGAAAATTTGAATCATTGTGTATAATATTTATTTTATGAAATCTTTTTTTTGCCTATTCTGTGAATAGAAAGGCTCAGACACACTCTAGTCATCATTCAGAGTGAATGCACTGATGTTATGTTTAGTATTTGATATACTATGGAGTGTTAATCACCATTCTGTTTCTCAGAGATTACTCTTTGCAGTACAGCCTTCTTGTTCTCCAAGGCGAGGGCACACTGCTCCTCATAACTCTGCTCTAGTCTGGCCTGGTACAACTCAGCTGCCTTCAAACGACTTTCTTCGGTTTCAGACAGCTGTGGAAATAAAGAATAAGACAATGGGAATACATGATTAATATCTAAACAATATCTTCACACTCAGTCTCACAAAGGTACGATACTGAACCCCTTCATTCCCCAATTTAAACAAATGGATTACTAAAAAATGTGATTCAAAAGAAAAATGTAACTGAAAGAGTCCACTAATACTGATCAACTGATCTTTGTCGTCTTTATATGTTATGTGGACGGCATGGTGGTGCAGCAGGTAGGGTTGCCACCTCACAGGGTCCCCAGTTCAATCCTGAGCTCAGGTTACTGTAGTGAGAACATGGAGTTTCATGTTTTATTCGTGTCTTTGTGTGTTTCCTCTGGGTTCTTCACTTCGCTCCCACCTTTCAACAACATGCATAGGTGGACTGGCTATGAAAACTTCCCCTAGGTGTGAATGAGTGTGTGAATGTGTGTGCGTGCATGGTGCTCTGCAATAGACTGGTGTCCCATCCAGTATTCCCGGGACCGACACCAGATCCACCATGACCCTGACCAGAATAAAGCACTTACTGAAAATGAATGAATGAAGTCTTTATTCTGTTCTAAGGTACTCACTTGTGTGTAGCCTCTCTTGCACAAAGTTTGCAGATTTTTTTTTTGTTTTGTTTCTGTACTTGATGCTACACACCTGCATTTTACAAAGCTGTATCAGACACTTTATGGAACACGAAATGTATTGCTGCTACCCTACCAATAGTTTACAGTTTACATGTATGTATTTTCCTGTCCTGTGTATTTATTGTCCTGTCCTGTGTATTTATTGCCCTGTTCGGTGTATTTATTGCCCTGTCCTGTGTATTTATTGTCCTGTTCTCTGTATTTATTGTCCTGTCCTGTGTATTTATTGTCCTATGTATTTATTGTCCTGTGTATTTATTGTCCTGTGCTGTGTATTTGTTGTCCTGCACTTGTCTCGTACTGTTGTGTATTTGCACTTTATGTAGTTTTGTGTACTGTACTGTGTTGCACCATGGTCCTTCCATTTTATTCCAATGTATACAAGCTATATAGAGGAATGACAACAAAAACCCACTTGACATGACTTGACATTTGAAACACAAAATACACTGTTTCCCATCAAAAATTACAAATATCACACACACAGAGAAAAAAAAAAAAACACCTTTTATTGTGGGTTGCATGTAAGTGACTTGAACTCAAACACTATGACGTAACACTCCTCATCAGCATCAAGCTCTGATTTCATTGGTTACCTCTTTATGCCGTACAGCAGTCGCTTTTCCAGTCTCCACCAGCAGCCGAGCCTCCTCCTGCAGGATTTCCAGCGGTCTTCCCAGTCTGACATTCTGCCTTGGCTGTCTGGCCAGAGACCCCACAAGAGTCCCGATCACCCCGACCTCTTCTCTACACTTCCTAATGTCGGCTGCCCTCCACAGCAAAGGCGTGGATCCGCAGAAGCTTATGTTAACAGTGTGATTCTCAGCCTTCTCTCCATCAGTTTTATTTCTCGCGTCCACACACTCGCTGCTTTCCACGTGCTGTTCAGCAGACAGGATGCTCGGTTCTGTCGCACTCCAGTCCATGGCATCAACTCTAATTAAACTTGGGCACAGAAATTATAATCAGCTTGCTCTACTGTCTGCATTCAGTAATTCCTGATTAAAAGGAAATGCTATATCAGAGTCAATCATGTCATAATATCTGAATGGCTGTGCTTTGGTTTGAACACGTGAAGGAGTTGTTTAGAAATATAAGGTTCTAACATTTCAGTCTGAAATCAAATCTACAGGAAAACAAGACAGAACGCCTGCATTTGATTTGAATTTGATTACATTATTCTCCCAAACTACAAACTACACAGTTTAATTCAAACCTTCAGTCGAACCGACAGCGCCATTTGTTTATTTCCGCGTTATTACATGTCACGTGACCACATCGCCGCGTTTTTAACCAATGAGCGTGAAGAACACCCGGAACGAGAGAGGTCGCTTTTGTGTGTCAAAATAAAAGCGGGCAAAGTTACTAAAGCTGGAAATCTGCAGCTAATCGCAACTCATTCTAAAGTTATTGTAAGATCATATTTGATATTTCAGTAATGTAATGAAATTAATCAATTAATTATGAGTAATGTGACATTTGAGGTTACAAAGAAGTCCCGATTAGCTTGCAAATTTCCAACATCCACAACATCCACATCTGACCCTGTGATCTAACTTAAAAGTTTCCCAACCCTGTTCCTGGAGTACCCCCTGTCCTGCACATTTCAATGTTTTCCCTGCTCTAACATACCTGATTCAACTAATCAACTAATTAACAGCCCTTCCTGAGTTGAAGTGGGTGTGTTAGAGCAGGGAAAACACTAAAATGTGCAGGACAGGGGGTACTCCAGGACCAGGGTTGGGAACCTGTGGTCTAACTAATGTACCCTGAAAGTATGAGCACATTTATTCATTCATCTTTAGTAACTGATTTAGGGTCATGTGGATCCAGAGTTTATCCTGGGAATACTTGGTGCAAGGAAGAAATATTCCCTGGATGGAACACCATCGTGCACACACACACACACACACGCATTCACAGTTAGGGCCATTTTAGAATAGCAGCATGATTCTGGGAGGTGGAAGGAAGCCAGAAAACCCAGAGGAAACCCATATAGACATGAGGAGAACATGCTAAACTTAGGATCTCAGGATCCAACTCAACTGCGGATGCTGTAGCTGTGAGGCGGCAACGCTACCTGCTGCACCACTGTGTACCAATCTTACTAGAATAAAGAAAGTAGATCAGTCCACATAGAGAACATATATAAGGGATAAGTCAAAAACACTATTTAAAATTTTGAGTGTAGAACACTCAGGATGGCACGGTGGTGCCGCCTCAGAGCTCCCTGTGTGGTTCCTGTAGTGAGTTTTCAGGTTCTCCCTGTGATTATGTAGGTTTCCTCTGGGTTCTCTGGTTTCCTCCCACTGTCCAAAAACATGCAGGTAGGTGGATTGGCTACACTGGTGCCCGGCTAGTTCAGTCAGTAGCATGAGACTCTTAAGCTCAGGGTCGTGGGTTTGAGCCCCATGCTGGGCACCAAAGCCAGCCACCGGGGTTGCACGAGCTAGTCTCAGTGCTGGTCCCAAGCCTGGATAAAATGGAGGGTAGGCGTATTTGGCATAACACCTGTGCCAAATCAAATGTGCGGATCATAAACCGGATTCCCATAATGGAGATGAATGATCCTTAACGGGAGCAGAAGAAGAAGGTGGATTGGCTGCCCTAAATTGCACCACTTAGGGCTGTGGTGGCTCAGTGGTTAAGGCTCTGGGTTACTGAGTTACAGGGGTTCAAGCTGCCACTGTTGGGCCCTTGGACAAGGCCCTTAACACTCTCTGCTCCAGGTGCACTGTACCCTGACCCTGTGCTCTGACCCCAGCTTCCTAACAAGCTGGGATATGCAAAGAAAAGAATTTCACTGTGCTGTAATATATATGTGACAAATAAAGGCTGCTAGGTGTGAATGTGTGTGAAAAGTGTGAATGGTGAATTCTCCCATCAAGTGCCCAGTGTTGCCAGGATAGGCTCCACTGCATATTTTTGTGCCTGGCACTCACATTTACCAACAGTGCTTTTCCCAAAATGCTTTTCCCTGTTTCTTCAATTCTTATATCAGCAGTAAATCATTAAATCATGATGCTATGCCTGCATGGGTTTCCTCCCACCTCCCAAAAACATGCTGGTAGCTATATTGCCTACTCTAAAGCAGATCATTTTATGTGTTTAAGTAAAATCTCAGATCACACAAATACAAATCACTCTTCTGCAGATTGACTGTTTAGCAATACCAAACCTAATACTTAACCTGTTTAACACCATGTATATGAAGTCACACATGGGAGTGTTCAGGCCATGTTATATAATCAGATATTTCTATGATTGGTGAATTTACGTCCACTAATGTGTTTATGACACTTAATAAGGATTAGAGTGCTCTGAAGCTAGGTCAGTCTTACGAGCATCTGCGGCATGGCAGTGTGGGATTACTGTTACTTATTCCACACACATGCATGTAACCTGTTCACATGTCACCTGTGCAGATGGGGCCAAAGACAGGTAAGTTATTGCTTGAGGATTGATTATATAGAGCTTTTTATGTGATATATGTTTTCATGGTATGTTTATTTAATTGATTATGAATAAGAATTTGTTTGAAATGTCCACATTCTAGTAAATGCAAATAACATAATACCTGCATTTGGTGTCAGCAAAAGGTGTGAATAGTTTTACTCACTATTCTATTTGTATGTTTCTTCCTGTGCCTAAAACAAATCATTTCTTGTTTTCTCTTTAGATATTTATCCCTTAGCAATGCTGAGAACTAGTTATTACTGCTCAGATGTAAGCATACAGCCAATTACATGCAGGTTCCCACCAAACTGCCTCACTTAACCTGTGCCTGTAGCTTAGCTTGCTAACTAGCAGTGTTTGATCTCCGTCCACTCTCCTGTCCTCCATCCACGTCCTGTCTCCGGTATGACCTCCCTGATTCCAGTGCCAAAGCCCTCATATTCCCAGGCCAGGGAAACCCTGGTAAAGGCCATTCCCCCAAAGGTCATCTGCTTGCTGGCCTGTGGGGGAAGAGACTGCCGCTATGAGGGGCCGGTGTGCTGGAGACCAAGCCAACAGGCCATTAAGGGCCTCTTCTCTAGCTGGTGAGGCTCCTCTCTCAGAATGTCTGCTATTTTATATGTGTTACACAATGTTCCATTTAACAGAAGCGCCCATATTCATAACATATTTTATGCCAGGTTAAATGTATTGTGAGCATAAAACCTGGGGTTCAATTCTAATTATGGCTAAACTTTAATTTTGGTGGATCTATACTTCAACTTTAAATTTTAAAAAATATCTTTAGACTTTAAACTGGTTTAGGCTGGTCATTAAAATAGTTTACACCAAACATTTACTTATTTGTTTGTTTGTTTGTTTTGTTGCAAGGATGACTGATGACATTGTTGCCATGACAAGGCCATCTACCAATCTCATTAAGACATACAACATAATAGACCAGTTTAAAAAGTAAGTGTTTTAACTCATTTACTGCTATAACAGGTTTATCACAAAAACAGTATTGACTTTGATATTGATACCCAGTATTTTATCAGAGTATTGAATAACTAAACAATAATATGGCAAAAAAAAAAATTTATCTGTCATTGAGTATACTGTATTTAAAAAAATAAAAACAGATTATTTATATCATACAGTATGTATCTGTTTTTTGTATATGTTGAGTATTTCTAGGACAATAAGCTTGTATGTTTCTGAATTAAACTCTTCACATGTATGTTTTAGTTGTCAATGGACCTGAAAACAGAATTTGTTTGCAGCTAATTTCTTCACTGAGTTGCTTTAAACATTGATCCATAATTTAGGTTGTGGTGAAATCTCTGTGTTTTTCACACTGATTTTCAGTTTTGAGCACCAATGTGTTATGAAAACCACTTAAAAGTAGGTTACCAAAAAAAAAAAACAAGCAAAAAAAAAAAAAAAAAAAAAAAAAAAAAAAAAAAAAAAAAAAAAAAAAAAAAAAAAAAAAAAAAAAAAAAAAAAAAAAAAAAAAAAAAAAAAAAAAAAAAAAGATAAAGGCAATTTGTAAAATTACCAAGCTGCTTTACAAGGGACTGTTAATTGTCTGAAAATTTGACTTGTCTATAGGCATAATACAATTTTAACATATTATTATGTCATTTAAATATATACTTGTTAATTGGAATAATCAATTAATGAATATTAAATTCAGTTGTAAATTGACACAAGGTAGTATTGAAAAATGAAAAACTTTTGATAGTTCATGTAAAACTAATGCAAACTAACAAGTAAAAGCAGAGTCCGATTACTGCTTTTTTGGATTAAAGATAAAGACTCTTTGGCTATTTAAAGAATAAGTATTGACATGTCTATATGCATGAGTGTCTGTGTGTGTTTACAGGTTGAACATTAAATCCATCATTAATATGCAGCTGCCAGGCGAGCACGCTCACTGCGGTCCTGAACTGGAGCCTGACAGCGGCTTCACATATTCTCCTCAGATCTTCATGGAGAATCAGAGTCAGTCTTTCATACACTCACTTATAACTGATTTCAAAATAAGCAGTCAGCGGTGCAGTGTTTTATTGCCTCCTTCTTGTCCAGTTTACTTCTATAACTTTGGCATGGCTGATTTTGGCGTGTCGTCTCTGGAGGGGATTCTAGATGCAGTGAAGGTTTTGGCCTTCTCTGTGCAGGAGGGTAAAGTGGCTGTACACTGTCATGCTGGACTAGGCAGAACAGGCAAGATTACATATTAAGCTCAGACATGTCTATTCATGCCTTTTTAAATAAACCTGATAATCCATAACATACCAGAAACTAACCAAATAATTAACTCGCTATATATACATAAGTATTAGTGACCACTAATTTGTTTATCTATGATTTCTAACATCCAGTGTAACATTACAGGAGTGTTGATTGCATGCTACTTGATCTACACATTAAGGATCAGTGCTAGTGAGGCTGTGCACTATGTGCGGATAAAGAGGCCTTGCTCAATTCAGACCCGTGCTCAGATCAACCTGGTGTTTGACTTTGCGAGGCTCCTGAGCTCCCAGCTGACGCAGTACCCAATGCTGAACATGCGGCATGGTGCCACATTCAGTATGAGGCAGTATCTACAGCGCCAGGCCGTGCTGTTACATGGTGAAGAGGCCCATTTTCTTGCACACACACCAAAGATCTTGCATTTTCTCTGCAGCCTGCTGACAGCCCTCGCCGAGGGAACATCAAGTCCTCCAGAAGTTCGGCAGGAACTAGAGAAAAAAGCAGCCATTTTGGTTCTACAGCAGGCTGTGAGGAATGTGTTGGTACTGCAGAGGTATTTGCCTGTCATGGTGGATGGGGAAGACTCTTGCGAGTCTGTGTCTTCCTGGGACGAGCCTTTCGGATTTTTAGAAAGGAAGAGGGAAATGCTTTTGAACAAGCGCAGTTACAGTGAATCAGACCTCAGCAAAATTTCTCTGAACAAGGTGAGAACAAGTTATAACTGTGTTTCCAAAAAGCATTGCTTAACTTTAAGATGCTTTGGTGAAACTAAAAATCAGGATGCTTGATAAAAACATGCATACAATCACATTTTAGCATGAATTACATATCGGCTTATAATTTAATCATAAATCAGTGATATTTTCGGTTTCACAGATTTTCTTACATTGTTCTAGGGTCCAAACTTTTAAATTCCTGATAATACCTGAGATTCTTCTATCTTTTCTTTAGGATATGAAATTTATACACAGTTCCATGCTGTTTGGTAATGGTGGTAAAGTCTGTAATGGAATTTTGAGTCATTTAAGAAAGGAGGAATCAGCAAGTCCTGCCTTCAATGTCTTGATAAATGAGCCTAACTGTGCAACAGTTACAGATAGACAGATACACATATCACCTAATCATCACCTGGGTAAGCCCAATGCTGGTAAGAGGGCAAAGTGCATGACGAAAACATCTCAGGGATTCCCAAAATTCAGCTCCAATATAGAGGTGAGTTTATGCTTATTTCCATTCACTGACAAACCTAAAGTTCTGCACAAAAGGTTGTTCATTTTCTAATTTCTAACAACCCCATGAATGTAGTTTTCCTATTTGCTGGCATACAATGATGGTCAATGCATTGTTTTTTTTTTGTTTTGTTTTGTTTTGTTTTTATGTACAAAGCTCCATAAAAATAACAAGTATGGAAAAGGGTCATTAGCTTCGAGAGCTGTTGCTAAAGCAATGGCACAAAAGGAACCTACAGGCAGCAAAGTCCTGCAAAGAGCTGCACTTTTACAGGTTAGACACCTTTACTGACAAGTCTTTCCCAAAAAAAGCAAAGCTGTGTAGTGCTTTCAGTAAACTCATTTGACACAAGCATGTAATAAATGTACTGAAAAAAAATGTTACATAAATATATTTGAAATATAAACTTTTCTGACTCAAGTTTTTGTATTCTGTATCACTGCAATACATCAATAGCTAATCTTTTGTACATTTCTAGGCCATTTTAGGCATTTTAGTTT